CTAGAAAATACATGCATGCAGAAACCCTCGCCTTGCAGACAAAACCATTTTATTTTCCGAACGTGAAGTATTTTAAGTAGTTGTCATGGTAACACGATAATTTTTTAAGAATATTTTTACAAATGAAAAATCCCCTATAAATATCACTTTTAATTACAAAGTTATCAATTTCCTAAACATATATATGTTAGGTATGTTATTATACGTAATATAAGCTTGAATTTAAGGTAAAATTCAACCACAAACGCTTCGCAAAACGTTTTAAAATGTTCTTTTACTATAGAACAAAACTGCCTTTATCGATAAACTTTGAGTTCGAAATAAAATGATTCCAAATTCCCCCATGTAAATAACTTTGCTTAGTATAATAAAAAGTGTAATCAATAAAGAAACACTGAAATAATACGCTGTCTTGTTTCATATTTTATATACGCAACGATCGGCTTTTAAAGTAATTACAGCCGAGATTACAGTATATTAAAAGCAAACAATGCATCAATATTTAAAACAAACTTATCTTCGTTAACGTCGGCACTTTTACTTCCTTCTTTTAGCAATCCTCTTGCCTTTATTTCATCAAAAATCCCAAAAAATCCTTTGCAATTTACAAAATCTTACAAAAATGAAATATATTTGCAAGAAATCATCGGATCAATTTCGCTGTCGTCAATCGTCATGCAGCCGTTATAATGCCAATTTTAAATTGGACCAATCAGTGTTGGCTATTCATTACAGTCCGCTATATTATGAGATCAGTGAGGATGACCCACTGAGCTATAATATAACTGGAGGAAGTGCTCGGCATCATCAAGTGAAGCCAAAAACATGGCGGATTTTCACGTCTGCTGACGCCAGAATGACGCCACTGGTCCCAAATCCTCGTGGTAATTACCACTGACCAACCGCGATCCTCGGTTTCAGACGACAATTTCACCCCCCTGGTTTTTGCACAAAAAAGCTGAAACTCTGCTGAAAATTTATATAAAAAACATCAAGAAAAAATGCCGAGTTTTTGCATGGCTTCATGATGCCACAATTCTTTAATATCAAGAAGAAACACTTCTTTTTACCGGTAAGATGTATATTAAACTCTTTCTCTGTGCTTCATTTGTACTAAATTCTGTTTTTTAAAAGAAAAAATTGGATACGAAATTTACAAATATAACGACGCTGTACAGCAGCTGGTGTTATTCTGCCTTTATCACTTTTCGTTGTGTTTTATTTTGCCATTTGGGTAGGTTATAGTTTTTGTTTTTCTCTGGAGTCCTTACCCAAAGATCCAACAGCCCCAACATCAATTTTCACATACAGTATTGTAATAGAAATGCCTTTATAAGGCTTAAAATGATGGACAAGTGTCAAGCAGTGTCAAGTCACAAATGCCATGGTGTCAATATAGTCGAACTTATCCTGGGGTTTTAATATATTGTCATAAGAGGCCCAATATATGGTTGTAATGGGCACAAAAAAGATCAAAACTGTTCCTAACAAGTGTCTCGAGCTGTAGGAGACGAGTATATATAAAGTGTTGAATAAAAGCTTGCAAGGCTCACACTACAATTTTGAGTTGTGATTTTAACAGACAATTTTAATCTTTTTTCATGGCTAACATAGGAGGCATCTCTGCGAAGGTTCCAATAGATAGTTGTACAAGTAAAGTTTTAGTTCATATATAAAAAGGCCAGCAAATAGACATGAATTTTTCTTGACGAATATGAATTTATGGATAGTACATGGGTCCCCTCCCATGCTTATTTCACAACACTCTAATTTCTATGTCTGAAAGATTCGAGACATATTTTAATATTTGAAATGGGAAAAAAATAATATAATGTTCAATAGCATGTAGATCAAATTATATACATAATATAGTAGATGACTGATTGGATGTATTCTATTACACTTTTCCAGATGCCAAGAAAAACCCGCTGCGGCGAACCAGTGGTATCTCAGTGGAAGTACGGACGAAAACGAGGCTAAAGGGTAAAAAAAACACAAAACATGACCCTATAGCCTCGTCTCGATGTTAAAATAATGCAGATACCACTGGTCCATAGCATAGACATATTCAATTACAATAACAGCTATAATTTGAAACAATTGGCTGGTTTGACATTTTAATTGATTATTGCAATATTTTCACATTTGATTTTGTAATTTATTTGTTAATTTTATTTTTAATTATTAATAATATGAAAATAATGTGGTCTAATAAACCCATAAATCAATATACTGTTAATAAAATTGTATTTTATGTGTAGTTAATTAAATATATTCATCAACAGTTTGTGACTCCTCTTTCCCAACAAGTTGCTCAATGGTGCTTTATTTCTAAAAAAAATATATGAGAAATTAATATTACACTAAAACAACCAAATACTTTATATTATAATTGTTGTGGTTATTGTTCGACACTGGATTCCAACGTTTAAATGCAATTAATCCAAACAACATTACACATGATTATGTACACATAACATTCTTGCCAGGCACAGATTTTCTGGGGGGGGGGGGTGTACCACAGAAATTATTTGCAAACCCCCCCCCCCCCCAAGAGGCATTTGGCACTGCCCCCCAAAGTTTTTGCACCCCCACAAATTATATATATTTTGATTTGATAGTTTCATATTTGATTATTCTTACTACTAAATTTGTAAAATTACCAATATTATGGTCTCAGATCTTGCTATGCAGACATAGAAAACAAATTTTGTCCCAAACTTTTTCCTTGGCCTTTCCAGGTGTTGCCACCAGGCCCCGGCCAAAGCAAGCAGCATCACCCCCCCCCCAGATATTTATCCCCCCCCGAACAAAAATATGAAAATCCTTCTCTGATTCTTGCTAACAATAAGTTTACATGAACCTTGCCTGCACCCAACCCTAACACCTCAACTGGCCTTCATCCTAACCGGTAAGGCCCCCTGTTTGCACAAAGCCAGTCAGAATGCTCTTGAAATTCCACTCATTTGAACCCAGGACTTAAGCAGATATATACTTAACTAACAATGAAGGTGATAGTCGTCAGTTGACAACTTACGGACCGAGGACTTGCTTGAATTCAACTGAAATTTATTTTGTATCACTTTGGCATGTTGAAAGAATGAGGAAAATAGTTCACTTAGACAAATAGCATGTAAATATTGGGGTTTGGTGTCAGGCAAACAACCACTGTCTAAAATATTTTCCTCCAAAAATACATGAATTACCAACATCAAATATCATCTAAGCTGCAGAGCTTCCCCATTGACGAGTGATATTGTGTGGCTTTAGAAAGTAAAAAAAAAGTAGGGCACACTGGGGCGCATTGCGGCTCAATAGGTTAACTAGAGACATTGTTAGTTTTTTTTTGGTTAACCGATAAGCTACAGAGCTTCCCCATTGACAAGTAAAATCATCTGGCAAGTAAAAAAATAAATAGGGAGCATTGCGGCTCAACGGGTTAATTATGAAATTAATTTTACTCATGCAATTTCTAGAGAAAATGCTACAGGCCTCTAAACCTGATCTTATATATGAAACTAGCTTTGATCTTATATATGCCTGATCTTATATATGAAACTGCCAATTGTTGGATCTAGACTTGATAATTCTACACATTAGTCATTATAATTTCATTGCCATCAGTGGCCAGTTATAAAGTATATAGATTAAATCATTCAAAGCCAAGCCATGATAGTTCTGGCTTAAAAAGGTCTTCCTCTATAAGTATACTAATATAATAGAAACCACTTTAATTTTAATAAGTATGATCATGAAGCAGTCAAGCAGATGGTGGTCGACTGGCATTTTATATCGTAAAATTTGAAATAACAAATGAAACTAAAATCTGAAATTTCAACCATTTTCTTTCGAGGAAGACTGTTTCTCGTATTAATATAGTTTGGGCAACTTAATTGTATACATCAGTTGCTAAAATTGTCCACTACACAGTACAAATGGGCTGTTTATTTCGCTTTGTTTTGACATACTCTATCACAAATTAATATTGAACATATAAACAGTATTTTTTTACCTTTTATAAAAATAACGTCTTTCCAAAATTTCTTGAGGTTTGAAGATTCGTTCCCTGTCTTTCACTAGCCAGGATGATTCTTACCACTTGTGCAACTCGAAACAAATGTTAAAATGTCGAAGAGAAGGCAAACACCGAGGCAAACTTCAAAACAAAAAGCTAAAATATTTTTGTGAAAATCAGGGGGATGAGAAAGTGGTAGCGGGCTCAAAATGAGCCTTGCTCAGTGGTAATTACCACGAGGATTTGGGACCAGTGGCGTCATTCTGGCGTCAGCAAACGTGAAAATCCTTGAAAATCCGCCATGTTTTTGGCTTCACTTGCTTGACGGTCGGCACTAGATCATAGACAAGATACGCACATATCTGAAACTGCAATACATACGAGTCAGCGGTATTCCATATTTAAAATTCAAATAAATTAGTGCGCGAAATTGGAAAAAAACGCGCGAAACCAAAGCAATATGGCTTCCATCGAAGAGTATAGCGATAGTGACCGTGTGCTTGTTTGCGCTTCACAAGCAGAAATGCTTGAGAAATATTTGAAGATTACAAAATAAAAACAAGTAGTGGTTGGAGATGTATCAAATTAAACGCACTTTTTGGTAAGTGAACTAATTTCAATATGTAAATTTGTCTTATAAATATTCATACGAATACCGTGTGTGAAATATTTATGAAAGATCCAAATTATGCATACATAAAACCTTTATCGATTTACTGCAGTACTATACTCATATAATAATATAGTATGTCTTTATAAAGGACGAAAGATGCATGTGCTTTAGAATATATAGTAAAACTCACTGGATAAAAACCTTTCATAAGGGACCACTCATTAATAATGGGAGGAGGGAGGGGGCGGGGGGCGGTGGGTGATAGATACCAAATAATAAACATTCTTTAGAGCCGCCCCAATCGCAAGACCTTTATTTTCAAGATGCCCCCACCTTCATTTAGAACATTTAGGACCCCCCTCCAACATTTAATTGTTACTTAGTTGGTGTAAAATAGGTAATGGGACAAGTACTGGTGTTACGATATTGTGTAGCCTAAATAATAAGAGGACCAGTATTCGAAATGGTTGTTATTTACTCTGACTCCTATCGTGAACTGTATATACGTAATAAACTATGGAAACTACGATTATAGGAACTAAAAAAGGTGGGATATTTTGTGGGATACGATAAAGGCAATAGATTGAAAATGAGTAGGAAAGTATTAAAAATTTGGGGTCACCCCTTGTCACATATTTTGAGGACACCCCCAATTCAGGAAAAAATAGTTGAAGCTGCCCCGCCCCCCTCTTCTCACTCACTGCCCCCCTCAGTGGCGTAACGCTCACTAGGTAGGATTAGTTCAAAAACTGAGGGCCCCCAACAGTTAGGGCCACCCATCAGCCACAGTCTATCACCCAGAAAATTAGACGTAAAACGTAAAAAATGCAGGTAATTACGAATCGATGGAAAAATACAAAATTAATAATGCTAAATAATAAATGCTCCATCGACGACGGTATTCCATCTCAAATAGAACAAAAGTTATTCTTAAAAGTTGTTACATGTGTTGGAGACTGTTATTATCATTGTTATAGACACAGAATTTTCCATATTCTACTGATAAATATTCAATTTAAATTTTAGATCTCAGTCAAACAATAACAGTCAACAGGGCCCCCACACCAAATATGCCTAAGGGCCCTTCTTTCTCCGTTACGCCACTGCCCCCCCCCCTCCCATTATTAATGACCGGTGGTCCCTAATCATTCATTATATACATTTCATACAATTTCATATTAATATATACATGACTGGCTTTTCAAGATACATCAATAAAACTCGATAAACAGAAAGTCAGAAACAAGTGCTAACACTACAAATAAATGGTAGAAATACACAACAATGGAAAAAGGCTTTCATTCAATTATCTGCCAGTATGATATTCACATGCCTACTATATGATGTTAAAATGTATCATCTTAGGCCCTGTTTACATGAGCCATGCAGGCTAGCCTGCCTTGCCAGAATAGAAATTGTTATCATATGAGTCAGGATCTTGGCTAACCAAGACACTGAAGACAAGCCTGGCTAACTAGGCCAGCTTGAGTCATCTAATGTCCATTTTATGTACTATATATGCATAATCACTTTATAGTCTGCTATAGCACAACATATTTCAATAATTATTAACCCAATAATTATTAACCCAACAATTTATAACAATTATTTTATTAATTGACAACAATTATTTTATTAAAATATTGATTCTTTTAACAATTATTTTATTAATAACAATTATTTTGTTAAAATATTGATTCTCTTCATTGCTGAAATCTAACATTGATCATGTGGCAGTCCCACTTTATGGTTTGTTGCAGGCAAAGAAGCGTCCAACTAGCCTTTGGCATCCTAGTCTGTTTTTAATGTTGTTAATATTAACTCATTAACTGGAAATGTGAAAGTGCCCAAATGTGCCCTACTTAGTATTTACTCTGTCTAATGCCAGACGATTAATTACTCGTCGTCTGGATTGGCAGGCCGACTCGCCAACATTTTTGGAAAAAAGAGTGGCCCAAAAAAAATTTTTGTTTGTTTTTCTTTTGGAATTGGATCAAAAAGGTGGTTGCAGGTATTCAGATCCTGGAATGCTGCGAAATGGCCCTGCTGACCTGTTGGGACATTTTATTGGGTGAACATCAAATGATGGGTGGAGTGAAATGAAATTTCGATTCAATGTGACTGATAGAATTGGAATGGTATAGATAATGATGATTTTAGTGAATTATGTTATGATGATGCATGGACTGTGATGATGTTGGTGAAGCTTGATTTATAACATAGATATAAAGTGATGATACTGGTGATATATGAGTTGTAAAATGATATGAAATATAAGTGATACATAAGTCTGAACATTCAAGCTAAAATGAGACATGAATAGTAAAACTGTGACGTGTATGACTCGATTGATTGTTTTTGTGAAAATCGCGCAGGCATAACCCGGGTGCGTTTATGATGTGAGATGTATTGTGATGATGCCAAGACCTGGGTGAATGCCAATGTATCGCCACCCAGGTCAAGTCCCATGTGTTTTCTCTTCATTGCTGAAATCTAACATTGATCATGTGGCAGTCCCACTTTATGGTTTGTTGCAGGCAAAGAAGCATCCAACTAGCCTTTGGCATCCTAGTCTGTTTTTAATGTTGTTAATATTAACTCATTAACTGGAAATGTGAAAGTGCCCAAATGTGCCCTACTTAGTATTTACTCTGTCTAATGCCAGACGATTAATTACTCGTCGTCTGGATTGGCAGGCCGACTCGCCAACATTTTTGGAAAAAAGAGTGGCCCAAAAAAAATTTGCTGCAGGGCATCATCGGCTTTTGCAGGGGAATTCTAGCAGACACCCCTTAATTAAAATGGGCGGTGGTCAACTCCAAAGGGAAACACAGACACAGTTATTGGATTGAGTTCATTATTCATAATTCATTATATTAATTATTCACCTTGTATTCAATAATCAATAGCAAATACAGAACATTTAACAAAAATTTGCTCGCTTCCACAAGGCATATATAAAAGCGACAAACGTGCAAAGTTGACCAGCATGTGTTTTCCTATGAATATGTCACCAATATTTATTAAATACTATGCCTGTATGCCACATGTGGGCTATATTTTTCCCTTGGAAAATTCCCTTTAAAATGATTTTTAAATTAACCCCAAATAGGTAATAAAAGTAAATATATATTTCGATTTACACATACCTATTTATCGATATAACAATTTTTAAATCTCCATTTGTAATGATTTGTTTATTTGTAATGCATCATTTGTAATAATGATGTCTTTATTGCGTTTATATAAAGTTTACTGCTCTTGAAATACCGCTGACTCGTATGTATTGCAGTTTCAGATATGTGCGTATCTTGTCTATGATCTAGTGCCGACCTTGCTTGACTGAAGAGAGATAGGAGCACTTCCTCCAGATATATTATAGCTCAGTGGGATGACCACCCACCGAAACCACTGAGCTATACTATATTACTGGAGGAAGTGCTCGGCAAAAAAAGTGTCCGCAAAAACATGGTGGATTTTCGCGCCATATGACGCCATTTCCATGACAACTGGTTCCTCCGGCTCATAGAATTACCGCTGACCAGGCTCAATTCTGAGCCCGCTACAATTTTCACCCTCCCTGGTTTTATAAAAAAATATTTGCTTTTCGAGGTTTTTGAAGTAAAATCTCATTGTTTTTCTATATTTTTTCGACTTTTGATTATTTGTTCAAAGATTTAAAAGTCGTGCACAGTATTCTCGCCCGCGGCAGACAACAAATCAATATGAAAACCCCGAGAAATTTATGCAAAGACGATATTTGATGGCAGAGCTAACAGGTAAATATTTCACATACTATTGATAGGCTTTTATTTTTAATTTTTAAAAGATAGTGGGAGTAATTGATAGAATATAATCCATTAGATAACAGCCTGTTTGTATAGTATAACGAGTATTATATTCGCCCATGTATTCAAAGTCTTGTCGTAAAAAATACAGAAACTTTGTTTTTATATTCAAAGTTTTTTTGTATAAATGTTTTATTTGATTCAGTTAAATCAGTTTTGCCCCTTAAATCAAAGGGGTTTTCTATATAGACCGATGACTGAAATCCTACATGCTTGATTTTATGCAATTGTATGTGCTAGAAAGTATATATACCGGTGTAAAGGCATGAAACAATGTGCTTCTATCTATATTCTTTGTGTTTATATATACTAGAGTCTGTGGTTATTATAGTATGCATAATCTAGGGTGCCAGTAGAAGCTAGCCTAGGGGTGCCAGAAGCTCAGGATACTATGGGCAACTTATCTGGTAATATGATTTCTACCTAGCATTCTGGCTAATGACATGTTGGATTGAGGATTCTTAAAACACTAGAAATAGGATTGTACTTCTTGAATGTTATGGTCATTTCAGTCCTCTCTCTGTGACCCCTGTATGATGCAACTACCTGAAACTAAGAAATCAATGAACTTCAACATTTCAGGTGAAAGACCTATAGTATTATTTTTCAGGTAGTTGCATGATACATTCAAGCCTTTAAATAGTGTGGTAGCTTAAGCTGCTTTTCTCATTTCCTTTCTTCACTTCTTGTCTTTTGTCTCTAGTAGTGAAAACTTTATTTTACAACATTTTAATTATATAATCTCTTTTTGATCTAATTGCAGAATTATTTGATAGTGAGACAGTTCATAGTTCAACCTCTTTATTAAATAATAATAATCAATTATTAGAAATAATTAATTTTGTAGCAGTGATAAAACTATCCAGACAAGTTATGACTTTGTAGCCAGATGGGTATGATTTTGCTTTGTCTGTTCAGCATTTTCATCCATTGTGATATGTCTTGTGGTACCTGTGAATGATTTTACCTGCAAAATGAATGACAGAATATCAGAATGTAACATTACATTAAAGGACATTGGCAACCAAAATTTTTATTGCTTCATCTGAAAGAGCATGAAAAAATATGCTCTATTCTATCTTATCTAGTTCCAAAGTTATACGCAAAAATGTGCAAAATATAAATTGCTGATTCAGCACAATGTGTGACGTCATTAGTTGGGTAAGTATGTTTATTGAATTGTAAACTGAAGCATAGCTCAGTTATTATTGGCTCAAATCAAATGACATTTTGCATACAGATAGTACATGATGAGACGCATGGGAAAATACTTCTAATTTTGTTGCCAAGGTAACAATGTCGTTCCCAGGTCCCTTGCGCCAATTTTATAAAACAGCTTTTTTCACGGTATTGATAAGGTTAAAATAATATCAGAAGTATGTGTACCATACCTATGCATGCCAAAAGTTTACTTGCATGATAATAATTCGAAAATGACATACACATAGATAAATGCAACTAGTTATTCAAAATCAGTGTAAGGGGCCTGGGAACGACTGTGTTGCCTTGACAACAAAATTAGAAGTATTTTCCCATGCGTCTCATCATGTACTATCTGTATACAAAATTTCATTTGATTTGAGCCAATAATAACTTGGCTATGCTTCAGTGCAGTATTCAATAAACATACTTACCCAACTAATGACGTCACACGTTGTGCTGAATCAGCAATTTATATTTTGCACATTTTTGCGTATAACTTCGGAACTAGATGAGATAGAATAGAGCATTAAACGGCCAACCGGCTTATTTTTTCATGCTCTTTCAGCTGAAGCAATAAAAATTTTGGTTGCCAATGTCCTTTAAGATACATCCTTACACTGCAATATAATTATGTGAATAGATGTTCAGTGTGAAGAATATGGTATTTGACACTCTTTGTATATATTAAACATGCTATTGTGTAATGGAAATGATCAAATAAAGTTATTTATGCAACAGTCCTTGCATTCAAACACCTTATTTGTATTTTTCTTGTTCATGCTTGAGCATCAGCCTCAGGATAAGCAAATTTCAAAGGATTTGTTAGGGCATATTGACCCAACTATATTGGGTCAATAGGAAAGATTCAAACTCCCACAGCCGTGACAGTGTAGAGGGGAGATCCACTAGTAAAATGTGCTAGAATATCTAAGGGAGGTGATAAAAATGATGTTTAATATGGACTTAAAATTATTAAGCAATTGAGTGCACCAGCAGTTTCTCTTTAACAAGTAAAATTATCTAGCATTGGACTGAGTAAGATAACAAAGTAGGGCACAGTGCCCCTTCATTATTGATTAATCACTTAATTAAAGGTTTAAATGCTGAATTTTTTGAAAGTGGCAACAGTGGCAGGGTACTGAAAAGGTAATAGGTAATGTCTTACTTGTGCACATGCATCCTAAATAAATACTGCTACAAAAACCTGGTAGTTAACAGTTAAAAGTTAAAACCAATCACAAATTTCATTATTTGAAAGTAATATAAAACAAAACAAGTCGGGAAAAGGATTTTGAACCCAGGATATGAGACACAATTAATATGAGAATGAGTTTGAATAAAAAGAACAAGAAAAAAGAGGATAAATTTATACAAAACTGCTGTGATATTGTTGAAACTAGCATTATTATGCATTTGCTGTTTATAACGGTAGTTTTTGACATAATGTATTTATGCTTTTCCATCGAAATGGCAAGTTAAAATTGCCAAGTAGCCCAAGCTTTGGCAAGCTAGAATTATTTAAAAAAATTAGTAAAAGAAATAAAACTTTCGTGAATCTTACCTGAAAACAAGAAATATAATAATCCTTTCGACGGAATTGTTTCATCTACAAGTAGACTAAAAAGTTAAAACTACAACACAATTTCCTCGACTGCAAAAATATCAAGATTTTCAGTCGAAACTCGAAAATTTAAAATTAATATGATCAAAATTTGTGCAAAAACCAGGGGGGTGAAGTATTTTATTTCAAGCGTAGGATCGCGGTTGGTCAGTGGTAATTGCCATGAGCCGGAGGAACCAATTGGCGTCAGCAAACATGAAAATCCGCCATGTTTTTGCGGACACTTGTTTGACTGACGGATAGATAGGAGCACGTCCTCCAGTAATATTATAGCTCAGTGACCGAAACACACACAGTGACCCACGCCCGCGATATTTGATGAACTTTAGACTTCGCTAATGCTTTCGTTTCCCCGGGTGTAAATAGCCGGGGGGAATTAGTATCATATATGAGTATTCAATATATCAGAAATACATGCATGCAGCAACCCCTCTCTTCTACTTTCCACGCATTGATTTACAGCTCGAACAGGCAAACCGAGGCCATTTTTACATGTTTTCAACGTTTTCAAACTAATCGAAAACTAATCAGCAACGGGTAAATTAGACCTATGGCAATGACATAAGTTCATAACCGTAAAACGTTTAGTCAAAATAACCCGCTGGTGATTGGTTTTGGCTTAGTTTTAAAACATAAAAATATCCAAAAGCGGTCTCGGTTTGCCTATTCGAGGGGTAACATGAATTATAAGTATTAATAACTTGTTAACACGGAAGTGAGGGAACGCAGGGGTCCCGTTTGCGTGATGTGTTGCCATGACAACAATACTACGCGATATTATTTAATTTTTTAAATTTAATTTTTTCGGTACAAAACGGCAAAATAGTTGAGAGATTATTAATACTTTTAACTATACACCAATGAATTTCCTAAATATATACTGTGGGGTAGGTATGTTACTATGTAGTTATGTTTATAGAGGCTGTCAAGTCCGTTCTGCTCATGCGCGTGTTCTGTTTACATTTTTGTTTCAAATAATAGATAATTTAGAAAAATTGAACTACTAAAACAAAAATTTAGCCCCAAAACAACAAATTTTAAATGGAAAATGCTGAGCTAAGAAGCACTTCTAACAGAGGTCTGGACAAAATTTGATTGCAATTTGTACAAATTTTGTCCATACCTTTGTATAAAGACATGTTTCTTAACATTTTCAATCTTAAATTTGTCGTTTTGGAGCTAAATGTTTACAAATTTCAATCAAATTTTGTCCATAACTCTGTAAGAGTGCTTCTTAGCGTTTTCGATTTAAAATTTGTTGTTTGGGGGCCGCCGGAATTTTTGCTTTAGTAGTTCAATTTTTCCTTCGTAATATATTCTGAATGCGTAATGTAATTGAACAAGACGCCTACTCAGGCGTTCACACTGACCTGAAAACGACGACATGCGCTCTATGGTGCAATCTCGTTCCCTGAGCCTGCGGTCCTTCTGGGATAATCCGTTTCAGGGAGGAATCTGATTGACCGTTGATATGGAATGTGCAGTTCAATCTTAGCCAGAATTCCTGGCTTTCGGCAACGGATTATCCCAGAGCCTTCGTTTCCTTCCCGAGGATCGCAGGCTCGGGAACGAGATTGGCTATGGTGTAATAGACAAGGGAATGGTGAGCAAGAGAGTTCGTATAGACCAGTTTCAGCGGTAGATCAATAAGAGATCAAGAAAATCAATAATTTGAGCGGTAGATCAAGAAAATCAATAATTTGACAACAAAAAGCAGAAGGCAGAAATCACCACTTTATCATTGGCAACTTTTCAACCCTATACCGTGCAACCTTGAGTGTCCCTATATGTCGTGTGGAGTTTATCTATTGGTCGAGTGTCGAGGGTTAAATGTCGAGGGCGAGGGTAAAATTTCGAGGGTGAGGGCAAAACGTCGAGGACGAGGTAATATGCGTTCCACGCACATATTATAGGCTACTACGTGCATTTTAAATGTACTAACAGGGCAATTTAAACTTCACGGCAAACGGCCTTTTTGGCCGCTGACTGGAATTTTTCTTCTTCGTTCGCTTCATCTTCTCATTGTTATCTCAAAAGAATCATCATACATTACAGTTTTAAAATAGCTAGTTCATTTCCCATTTATTACCTTGACCCTTGTAGCATAAATTTTATATTTACTATAGCTACCACAAACGGCTTTTTGCAATTTTGCGCACCCAGCGCTGCGCGAATTCTAGTAGCTACTGCATGAATTTTAAACATGTGTTATGCTACATTATACACATGAGAAAAATCCAACACTGTATGCTATATTGTCGACATTTTGTAGCAGATTTCGTAACAAATGTCTTAGTTCTTGTTCATTGCCAGTGGTATTTTGAACGCACGCTTTATCTTTACTTGCGCCAATTCTTGCCCTACTGCGCGAATTTTAATACATGTATTATATATGGCGCGTTTTTACTGTCAAAATTCAATAGGTCCAATAGTTATAAGTCGAACACCAAATCACCAATGATACAAATCGGGCAACACTTACTCGAATCGAGCAGACTGATATGTAAATCGATTATTGAAATCGATCAATATACATTCAAAACGAGCACTGACAGTGAGCCAAATCGAACGACTTTTCCTTGTTTATATTATATTGTGAACTAAATGTTATTGTATTAGGCAAATGAGAACCATGCAATAAATGTCTTGGTATTTTGAATGCAAGCTTTATCTTTACTACTTGCCCGAACTCTAGTAGCTACTGCGCGAATTTTACTATATGTATTAAGGTATATTGTCGACATTTTGTAGGTGAAAAGAATTGGCTAGTTTACATTGCTCATTATATTATGAAATATGATACTAGTTAAAGAATGTGTGTCAACCGGCATGCACTGCGCGCTTTTTGTTTATATTATTGTTCACGCTTGTTACTTCATTTTATATTCGCGCATTGATACTTGACCGTCGCCACACGCAACAAGCTTTAAAATCGTGATAAAATGTCCGATTCAGACTCTGATTATGCTGCGTCTGTTTACGATCCTGAAGACAATTTAAATTGTTAGGTGAGAGGGAAGAGGACCTTACACAAGTCCCTGCCTAGCCACATATCAATAAAAAGATCCCTTACCACCCTCTAAATATAAATTTTACTTTGGGTGGAGAGCAACTAGATTAGGGTTTGTGCCAGGTTCTCTTTGTAAAATAGACCCTGTTACTCCGGCTATTATAAAAATACAGAAAATATATGTTCATGCAGGCTTCGCAAATCTGGATAGTGCCCGATCAACAATTTCTTGCGTAGCTGGGACAGGCTGCATAGCAATTGAATGACATATGTTTTTCGGATGCTCTGCTGACAGTTCTACTTTTTTAGGATACTATCCTTGTCATCAATCTTCCTCTGCAGGATGCCAGAAGTTAGAGCTGGCCAGAAGTCATAGGTCTTCTCTTCTAATACAGCCGTCACTCTCCAGTTTTTTGAACGCTTGCTGTACACTTTGTTGTATTTCTTCTTTCCATCCCTGTTCAAAGCTGCTTGTCTGAAAAGATGGCTGTTGTGGTCAATAGCTGCAAGTAATGTTCTTGCTATAAATGAGTCATTCCTAAAACAATGTTGTAGTTTAATAAATAAATTGACATAATTGTCTTGACTTTCAATTTGAAATCCATTAAGCTACAATGACAGCAACATGCCCATATGTGGCCACCATATCATCTAACACCAGACAAAGAGTGAGTGTTGCAAATACATTAGTAAATACATTATTTAAGATTACATATTACTTACTGAAATCCAACTCGCTTTGGTGTATATTTCAAAAGCATTGAATTGAAATTTTCTAGCTTGCTGGTGTGTCTAATAAATAAATGATTAATTCACATGACTTCACAATTTTTATATTTTCCACTTTTTCCTGAGATTTTAGGTGCGACTTTCTTTTTCTGATGGATGTGAAAGAGTGAATGAATTATGAATGTTCAGATGAGGGTATATATGTACTCAGAACATTGATAACTCATCTACTCATTCACATCCATCAGAAGAAGAAAATCACAATAGAAGTCAAGTCACAAACAACAAGTGCAAGTGTAAACACCATAGGTGTAATTGAATAGTATCAGTTGAGAACAATGAGTGAGTGGAGAATATTGAAATCAGTGGGGTTTAGAAACAAAGGATTACAGTAAGACAAAGCACAGATATATTGTTATGCAAAAGTGATTTTACCCCCTTGTTTTTACCCCTAGCACTAGACGATTTTAATTGTTATGGAGAGCAATGGCACAGGGCCAGCTGTGAAGGGCCTATTATAAACTTACTGCAGGTGTATAATGAGAAATGCACCGTAAAGTCCCATGAACGGTCAATATACCTGAATGTTACATAATGGTGCAAAGCATTAAGAAAGCGAGGATCCATCACCACTTTCCGCAAAGCCTCCATTGCCTTGGAACCCTTATCCATCAAGGTCTTGTTTTCTTCAGTGGAAACAAGAGGACCATGTGTGCACTCACCATCTGCCCATTCGTGTTCACCAACAACATGATGTAAAACTCCGAACCAGCCGTCCTAAAGTGTATTCATTAAACCAATAAACTCCAATATGCCCTACTTTATATGGCAAATAGTCCCAATAGTTTCCAAGTCTGATTTTCCGCAGAACATTTGGAAAAGTGATGTGCAATGTTCACTATTTGCTCCAGTATTTTCACACCGTTAATTCAAACCCTGATTATTATTAACTATAATATATAAGGGTAACATTCTAACGTGAAAGTTAGTACTTTCCTCACCTTTAATTTCTCTGTGTTGCCCTTATTTTCTTGTGCAACATACCAGAAGTGGTTTCGTATTGGCTCGGTCCACTCGCTTAGTACCTCACAACCCTTAATTTTTGCAGCCTAAAACCAAAAATATTCAAACCGAACATCTCAATTAGGAAAATATGACTCAAAAGCGAAGATGATGTACTTTCGCAGACACTCGAGAGGATTTTAGGGTGTCAGCATTTGACCAATGTTTGTAGCTAGAAATTTTAGTTAAACTTTTTTTGTCTAAAATAATCCTCTCCCCCATGTTCACCACTTAAAAAGATTATGTTTTATTTAATTTAATGATTACTATATATTCCTAAATGATACAATAACGTACAGTATATTGTATAAGGGAGTGAAGTTAAATATCACCTTTGACAGCTTCTTTGTCAACTTTACAGATTTGTGCCAAATGTCAAGCGCATGAAACAGCTTACCAAATTCATTAGGATATTTATCTAAAAAATCCATAAAATATATTTAATTAATTAACCCATTTATAAGAGCCAGCGCCATCTCCCTTTATTAACACGATTGTCTAGGAAAATCATCTGGCATTAGACAGAGTAAAATAATAATGTAGGTGCACAAGACACAATGCATTAAAACATAATGGGAAGACATTAAATAATTTTTTTTCCTGCACCTAATTTTCATGTTTTAATCCATTACTACTATTATTATACCTTTCATTCTTCTAACCAGTGCGGCAACTGCCGTGGAAGCATCTGTCACAATTTCTGACACAACAATCTCACCAACAACACATTCCAACAGTTTTTTCAGTCCATAAACTTCCATATTGGTTGACACCCCACCAGTTTCACGCTTGTCTACAACTTCGATATCTACGATTACATTGACAAACTGCTCCATAAGTACATACACACAATACTTAGCACTGAAACCTGGTGAATCATTTCGGCCATCACCGCAAAGAATGATGCTTTCCCCAAAAAAGATTTTCCATATCGATGCCTTCATGTCTTTCCAAAATCTCTTGATCTCAGGAATCACATACTTCTTTTGGATTCTCATAAAAGTTGACCTTGAGATGAATGACAGACCAAGAAATTTGCAAAATAGTGCAAACTTTTCATAATTGCCACCTGTTAATTACGAAAATGTTCTATAGAATATTACATTGAAATATTCTATGGAATATTCTATGAAATATTCTAAAGGATTTTGGAACCTATTCTATGGAATATTCTATGGGATAGTTTATGGGATATTCTAATGGATATTCATTTGAATTCTATAGAATATTCTATGAAATATTCTAAAGGATTTTGGAACCTATTCTATGGGATATTCTATGCAATATTCTATTGGACATTCAGTTGAATTCTATACAATATTCTATAGAATGCCCTATAAAAAATTCTATAGAAAGTTCTATGGAATATTATATGGAATATTCTACTGAATATTCTATGGAACATTCAGTTGAATTCTATACAATATTCTATAGAAGGTATGGAATATTCTATATAACATTCTGTATTAGATTCTATAAGATTTATAAAAGTTTCTATTAAGAAACATTTATTAAAACACAATTATCATTGTATAAAGAACTTGTTAAATTATTAACTAAACATTAGTGAAACAGCTAGTTAACCAATCAGAATTATATGTTTATAGCTACCATTGAACTACAGTAGGAAATGGGTATTTAAAAAGTAGTCAGCAGCTGCAAGATACAACTGCCTCATGCCTGGAAACAATTATAGCAATTTTATCACTTACACTTACATAAACTTTGCAGCAAAGTAATAAAATATCACTTACACAAACTTTGCAGCAAAGATTTCAATGTGCCTGGATTTCAATATTAAGTATGTAAAAACAGATGTAAATATCCAGGCTTAAATTAAAATTAAGTGCTGCCAACAGAACCAATGTACGTGGCATATTGTCCACAAAACAAAACAACTATGCAAGAATTTAAAAATAAACATTGGGCTAGTCAAACTGTTGTAGGATTACACTATTTACTGAATATTTTTATTAGAATAAGTGTCAATGTTACTGTTATGTGCAGATAATTTCTTTTTTTCACAATATTGTTAATCCTTGTGTTCATCATTGTTAATCCTTGTGGTCACCATTGATGCATATGGTCTTGAAGAAGAATACTGGCCATTTTGCAATAGTCGTAATTGCTCTTCCAAGTTGTAAACATATCTGTTAGGCATGGCATTACTATATAGAAATGAAAAATAAGTAAATTTTACTCATTACGTTTCATTGCATCTTACTTTATTATTTTACTCGGTCTAACACCAGACAACTTTACTCTTCAAGGGGAGAGCAGTTTTGTTCAATGGATTAACCCTTTCATGCACCCCGTATGCCCAACTTTAGTATTTACTGTCTAACGCTCACTCTATCTCATCGTCTGTGTAAATTTAGTATTTACTCTGTCAGACAATGTTACTCGTCAAGGGAAGAGTCTTGAACATTAATGGTTAACAAGGCATGTTAACCTGTTAACCCCATAAATAATAAATTTAACATTAAATAAATCTTAATTAACTCAATTAAACACATACCAGTTGCCACGGCCCAGTTTAAGGGTGTTTACAAGATCCAGACTGAATTGTCTGGCTTGGGGGGCCACTTTAGATAGGCCAGTATATAATTTTCTTCATATAAAACACTAATTAAGAAGACTAGTCTGGCTATAAACTTGGAGAGTGCTAGTTTTACCTCACAACACCACTTTGTCAACTCAATGCAGAATTTTCCAACTGTTGAGAACAATATTTTGAGCCGGGCTATAGCCCAGCTGCAATATTTAATCTAAAAATATACAAGGACAACATTTGAGGCTTTGTGTCAACACTAGCTAGTGACTATACTGCTTATTCCAGCTTTACAAACATATCATTTTATACACCTGAAGCTCATTAACCCATTCCCAAATTTGAATTTTGGGCAAATAATGTGCTGCAATTTGCAGCTTTCAACACACTGAAAATATCACATCAATACTTATATTTCAAGTATTAAAATAATAACATATCTTAATAATATTAATATATTTCATATACTTTGACAAAGGTCGTCTAGCAGTGCCAAATTATGCCAAAGGCAAAGACACTTCATATTGTGGATTGTTATAATTAAACAACAGTGCGTATAAATTTAGTATAGAATTCCCAATAATATATATTCGAATTCATATTTTATTCTTTCTTCTATCGCTAGAAACAGAAATTTTGTATGTTTTTATGCAAATTGACGCGGCAAATTCAAACATTCAACGGAATATTTTCACACATGACTCAAATTCACTACATTATTTCGGAATTAAAATGCTTAAATAGCATCAAACATGAAAATATTCTTACCTGTAGATCTGAATAACATTTTAAGAACTTTCCAATGCCTTTTCCATCGTTTGGGTTGAAAATATAAAGGAAAATTTCCCTTCAAATCCGTCCATGTGCGAGTTATTTGAAATTGCAATTTTAAAATGACGCTATCCCATGAAGCTTTGCGCCCTCATACGTAAACTAGGTACCAGGCTTCCAGTCAATGCGCGATGAGAAAATCAGAAAACATATTACTGGTAATTACTGGTAATATGTCTAATATGATAATATCTCATTGAAGAAAACAAATGTACTGTGAATTAAGTATACTATTAAGTCATTATTAGAAAATATTCAAGAGCAAATTGTCTTGAAAAGAACAAACTTATTTCAAGAACAAATTGTCTTGCAAAAAACAGATTTCTTAGTTAAGAAATATTTTTCTAAAATCACAATACTTTCACCGATTTTTTGCTGTGTACTAGGCAGTATAAATTAGGCTTGAATCTATATCAATTATAGGTTTATCACATTCTATGAAATTATCTATAGAATATCCCATACCATTTCATTAGAAAATATTCTATAGAATATGTTATTGGATGTTTCATATGAATGTGCAATAGAATATTCTATAGGATCTGGAACTTCTATAGAATATGGCAATAGAATATTCTATAGGATTGCAAGTCCCATAGAATATTCTATAGGATATAGAATATTCTATACCATATTCTATAGGATTCTATAGAACATTTTCGTAAGGGATCAAGGAGAGTGTGTGCAAATGGAATAAAAAGATTGAAAAATGTTCCTTGTGTAGTCCAAATTTCGTCCTACTGTGAACTTTTGTTAGACACAAACCGGAAAAATCGGGGTTCTGGCCGGAACCGAGTTCTGGTGGACCCCAACCTGAGATTGAAGAGGAAAATCCATAACAAACACATCACCCTTCTCTTGCTTCCTTCTTATTCAAGTTTTGCACATGTGAAAATCTCCTCCCACTCAACCTAAAACCTTAATATGGTATGGTTTGGTTTGCCTTTAAAGGATGGAGTGACATTTTTGTTTCGTAAAAATTATTTAATAATTAGGAAGCAAAAGGAAAGCAATTTTCCCCAACACTCCCTACCTTAAGTACTCTGATATTTAACTCTGACGTATATATGTTTCCCGAGAGACATTTTTACTTGTCGACTGTGGACTGTTTGCCCAAGTATCACCTATTAATACTCAAGGAGTAATTGCACAAGATATGTTGGGTAGTTATATCCTATACCTGTCACGTTTTAGGAAGAGTTACTATTTTTAGAATTTGTAATTTTGTATTTTACACTTAACCCCAATCCTAACCCTAAACCTAACCCTTACTCCAAGCCAAACCCTAATCTTAATCATAACCCTAATCATAAACCTTTCCCTAATCCAAACCCTAATCCTAACCCTAAAAGTCTAAAAATAGTAACTGTTATTAAATCATGACTCACATAATTCACACAACGACAACAACAATCTAATCATGTAGTTGTGATCACTATAACATATATTGACAACAATAGTATAATCTAATTAGCACCAACCAAGCAAATGACAGATTAAAAAATCTGTTGTCGCATAGACCAATCAGATTTCCAACCGAAATAGGTTGCACGGCATGGACTTTTGTTAATTAAGGTTTGTATCAAGCATGTTTATTTATTTATAGGTCTGATTGCAGGTTAGACCTCTTAGTTACCCCACCCACTGTAGATGCACTGTAATGTGAAACTGTGTTAACTTACATGAAAATTTGTCCATTGTTTTCCAGAACGTGTAATGGGTGTTAACAATACAACAATATGAGCTGTCCTGTTTACAAAGAAGACATAAAAGCAATAAAATTCAAGCTGGACAACAAAGAGTAGGGAAGGAAGAGCAATAAATTGAACAAGAAACTGAGATTAGTTGACATACATTGTTTTTATATGGTTACTAATTCAAAAAACTGATTATATTTAGTATTATATTAATATTTATTAAGTTCTTTGTATGATTGCACGGCGATAAAATATATAACACTTTTTGTTTGTGGAAACACCACGTACATTTATTACTGCAAAGCTTTCGATCCGTAAGCCCGGATCGAAAGAAGATCGAAAGCTTTGCAGTTAATAAATTTACGTGGTGTTTCCACAAACAAAAAGTGTTATATATAGTTTATTATTATGCAAATAGCTTATTATATTTATTTTATTATATAAACATAAGTGTTATATCGAGTTTTTGGCCACTGAGAAAAATCGTATTTAAACACACGTAAAAAATACGATATTTTTACGTGTGAAAATATCATTTGTTGTAAAACGCATTGCCACGGACGTTTTATTGTTTTTCACTGAATTTTGTTTATATAATAAACAAAAAAATACATAGGTGCTTGGAAATACCAGATTTATTTCTCGTGTTGAACATGATATCTCACTCGTTCGCTGCGCTCACTCGTGAGATATCATGTTCAACACTCGAAATAAATCTGGTATTTCCGCGCACCCATGTATTATTCTCTATATATTAATAAAATAATGTTATCAGATGAACAAATTTCATGTGCGAGGTGGTGATGTGCTGCATACATGCATGGTATGCTAAAGTATTTCTTTAAGAAACTATTATATTAGTTTTTCAACTAAAATACAGTAGACAGTATAGTTTTTTCCAACTATAGTTTTTAGTCAAAACTAAAGTTTTTGACAAAGCTATAGTTTTTAGCCGGCAAAACTATAGTTCCTACAATTACTATAGTTTTTATTTACTATAGTTTCTGTAACTATAGTTTTTGTTCCAAAATACTATAGTTTTTAGCCAAAACTATAGTTCCTACAAGAACTATAGTTTTTAATACTATAGTTTCCATAACTATAGTTTTTGTTCCAAAATAGTATAGTTTTTAAAACTATAGTTTTTGGTTTGAAAAATTATAGTTTATTTTTGTAAGGGTCAAGCTGCAAAACATAATTACTCAAAGACAACCCAAAATATGGTATTAAATTGCAAATGGCAAATACATTTACATATACAAAATGGCAAAACATTTACATATAGAAAATATATTATTCACTTTAATACGAAGAACTATCATGATATACTGTACATGTAATGCACATGTCATCAGCCATCCCCGGAGGGGGGACCCTGGGCTAGGGCGGGGACTTTGCCTTCACGGCCATAAAACTGTGTAAATTTCCCCACCCTCTGGGGCAAAAATACTTGTCAATCTCCCACTTTTCCCCCGCCCTCAGGGGCTTGTAAAGATGAATACTTATTGATTTATTAGTTTAAGCAATTTCTGAACATAAACTGTGAAGTCATGTCAAAGGATTAATTGGTTCTTATCAAAAATATAGGAATATAAAAAGGAATATAACAGGTTCTTATCTGTGAATCCCCAGCCTAGGCCTATAGTGCGTGCATTAGATTTTATTGTGGCGAATCTCATCACTGCAGAGAGACTAGAAACGAGTTGTCACCATCTCCACAAAACGCAGCAACTGATGCTATATAATAATATAATTACGAGGAATATGAATTATCATAACATCCAATTTTTATTAATTATCATAATAAATTTTTAATGTATGTTTCTATAAAAGATAGTTCAATTAATAATATAAAAGTGGACAACACTAGTGACTGAGCAGTGGATGCCATTAACAGTATTAAAGGTGATTTAAAGTCCGTTCTGTGCATAACTGGACATAACCAAAATAAAATAATGTTAACTTATTTACAATATAATAATATACATAAAAATGATTACTCGACTGTGATTGGTTGATTTCATTTTCTGTAAAATCACAGTGTAATTTTTTGTTATCACAGTGCAAAAATTACCCTGGATTCCAGAGACTTTGACAGTAAATATAAATTGAAATGTTGCGAAGGCTCTGGTTCAACGGGGCGATTCTTTGATTAAACCGCGCCAATCACAAAACAGAATTAGTGGTTTTAGTACAGAATTTATTATTTACTGTGGAAGGCTCTGGAATCCAGGGTATGCAAAAATCTGTAACAGACTGATCTGATTGGTGGAAAAACTATGAGAGGATAAAATCAACCAATCAGTTTAAAGCAGTTTAGTTTAAAGAAGGAACGGTCACAGATTGCTTCAAAACAAACAAATATGGTGCCACGCTACATAAAGTAAAAGTTGACTTCGGTTGGAAAATATGGCTTTTGTCTTTTTTAAAATGGAAAAGCCTTAAATTAATTAAACAAGACTAACAAAACTGACACAGTTGAGTGGAATTTTCAAGGTTGGAAAACTTTGTCACTGGACGGTTCGCTATAAACGTAAGACAGGCCCGTTTCATACGCCGTAATTCACATGTCCCGAATACATTAAAAACAATACATAATAAGGCATTTCAGCTCATTATCTACTGTGTTGTATTCGGCACAAGTGAAATACAGCGTATTAAACGGGCCTTAAGCCAGTTTTCCACTTCGACCGTATCTTAACGTACCGTAGTATTTTCTTTTGTGTTGAAGTCATTAGTTCCACTCTAGTGCTCAGGAAACAACGAAATACGCTACGCTTCACTACGATTGAAGTGGAGAACTGGCTTTACTGCAAAACTATAATGATACTACTTCTGCAATTTTTGAAGGTCTTTGTTCAGTTGCACAAATCACAGAAGTACTTTTCCAGCATATCTGCTTCGTCTTCTTGAATGCCAACACAGCTACCATGGTACCATATGAGACATCCGTCACACTGGATCATGAACCTATAGTAAATGCACAATGGTTAAAGACAAACCAAATTAAAGACATTAAAAAACCCCACACAGTAGAACACTGGTCCTTCTCTTTATTCTTTACGTCCATAATTTGATTTTACTAACCTATCACCCCAGGGCTGCATGCAAATTCAATAGACTTCGTCATTTTCTTCATCACCTTCATCTCCCTGACCTTCCTCTTCATCAAGATTAGCTGTCACAGCTTTCTTCTGCTTTTCTGTGGTTAGAGAAATTAGTACCAGTATTATGAAAAAAGGAGTCGAAATGTGATCAGGTAGGTCTACATATGTATAGGCATTTTCTATTATGATTATTTTATTGATAAAATTAAAGAATATGCATGCAGGAAATTCACTATTAACACAATCAATTTATTTTTCCACCAGAAAAGAGGATCGTATTTATTTATTCTATAAGCAATCAAATAATTTTCCCTATTATTTTTCAGCAAACAATTGTCAAAAATTGGCTTAATTCCGTCAAAATGTAAAAACGTACAACCAGGAAGCTGATGCTATAAGCAAAATATTAGAAACATATTAAAAAAAACTTACTTTTTTTCTGCTTTCCATTATTTAAATTTTTCATCCACATTTGCACATCTGAGACACTTAGCAAACATGTCTTAGAGAATTCCTCCATCTCTTCTTCAGAACACGTTTCGTGGTTTTTTGCAAATTCCTTAAGTACTTTGCTAGGAGGTTGGGTACAATATTCAGAACCATGTTCCTTGACGAATTCATATTGACGTTCTGGCGGTAAATAATGTCCATTGCAGTTGTCTTTGCAACTCTTGCATGGACCTCCAGACGGTCTTGCTGGATCGGGAATCGGAAGAGGTACGAAGGAGAAAGGAGGCCCATCTTTGAACCATGTCGCTGGTTTTCTGGGTAAGCCTTTCGTACATACTGCGTGTAAACAGTTAGGTTTATAACAAGGTAATAGCAAGAAAACGTAGTTTGCTGGTAACTTTTCAATCATATGGTCTTTTCGAACTTGCCAGATTCGCAAGAAATAGTCATAGTCTTCCGGGTAGGCTTCCTTTAGTTCTTTCTTCTTTTTCTGAGAACCTCTCAAGAAAATGATTAACCGGTCACGTCTTTCTTGAACTTTGCTACTATATTCATCTGTGCTGCCTCTTGTTAAGTGTATGGGTTTTCCACCACATTGAGCACCAATAACTGTATTTATGTACACACTGAGGGCCGCTTCCAAATTCTGCACAAGCATTTTTCTATCTAGTTCTCCATTAACAAAATTGGAACCGTATATGGTAGAAGGTATGAATAAATTTGAATGTCCCAATGCAAGACATCCATTTTGCAACTCAACTTTGTTCAGGTAACTCCCACCAGCGAATCGAGAAGTAACTAATGTGCAAATCTTTCCATGATGTAAATGTCGCTCTGTCCACATAAATTGGACCTCGAAATGTGACGGACCCTCGTCGGTTGCCCCATCAACCCTAATGCAATCAATTTCGCCAGAAAGTGCAAACTTCGCTTCGTCGTGATTTGCTAACATCTCCAAATCACCAGCATGTTGCCCTGGATTCTTTTTGTGCATGGTGTGAGACTTTACCACACCAACGCAAGTCTCTGGAGTTGTTTCGGTTTCTAAAAACATATATGAAGTTGTTTGAAGTGTTGCTGTATATTTATTCAGGAAATCAGTTCCGGGTTTCCAGCCTCTGAGAGTACTTTATGCTGTTTGTGAGTGAATGTTGAATCTAGTCGAAACCCGGATGCGTCGTCTCTATTCAATACAACCTTATCTCGGCCGTCTTTCAGTTGTAAAAAATCTAGTGTCTTATAAAAGGAACAGCTCCAGTGCGCGTCCACATTAAGTTTAATGGCAAATCCTTTTCTAGCACGTCTTGATACAATCTTCGCAACCCCAAAATAACGTTTTGCAGAAAGTCGTCTTCGATTTCTAACACAACAGAGTTGTACAATAGTTCCGTAGCCAAAGCGGACACCATACTTCTCCTCAAGATGCTCTTTGATGCGCTTGTATGTGACTTTCGGTCCTCGCTTTACATTTCCGCTAAATGTTAATATTCCAGTCCTTCTCCAAGAATCTGCGCCAATCCTATTCTCACGTGCAAACTTCTCTATATCCTTGCCAATATCAGGATATTTCAATAGCGTCCTCGACACACGATTTGGTACCTTTCTCTTCAACAAGCAACGATGGGTAACTTCCTTAGCTATAAGTCTCTTTTTGTATTTCTTCAAAATTGCAGTCTGTTTGTGAATCTTGGCCTGCATTGTAGCTGAATGAATACTCGTTCCTTTCAGTTCAACCCAGTCTTCCGGATTGTCACTTTCAGACTCAGTAAGTGCTTCCGTGTTTTCTACAAATGGTACCTCCTTCATGGCAAGATATGCTTCGTAAGACTGCTCAGCGTCTTTTTTCTCTCTTACTGTTAAATTACTGAAAGGAATAATATCAGAAAGATTTTCGAGGAGTTGTTCCAATGTTTCTTCCGATAGATTGTTAACATTCAATTTCAAGTGTTCCACAAAAGAAAGCCAGTTCATTTTGTGTTCAGTAAGCATTGATATTAGGTCAGCTTGGCTTGGTAAAATAGGTAGAATCACGTCTGTTTTCTTTGTCTGTCACTGACATGTTTTGTTCTTCACTTTCATCATCAGCTATCCATACACACAATTTCCCCTCACTGCTGTCACAAGTCGTAGTATCGGAGTCATTGTCTGGTTCCATATTCACAATTTTGGCCTGTGCAATCTTATTAACTGCTTGCTTAATCTCCAGGTACTCCTGCATTGCATCATATATCATCTTCTTCTCTTTATTCAAGTTTGAAACTCCCAAACGCTTTGCTTCGTTTCCCGATTTCCCTTGACATGATGCCACACGAATTAGACGTCTGTCCTTTTCAGAGCTTGCTAACTCACACAATAACTTTAAATTTTCCTTATCAATTCCACTAGATAAACAATTTTGTGGAACATATTTTGCAACACAACTAGCAAGTTTCGTGAAATCAAGTCCATCAACATATTCTGTTTACGAACAACTGATCAAAGCAACAAAAAATAATGACAGGAAGCTGAATAATATGACGAACTGCTTTATCAGACTTGTACACTGATCCAAAGCACTTCCTGTAAACTGTTGATAGTGGTACAATTCCCTTTTCACCTATTTCATTTATTGCTTCCAGAACAGGTTTACATTTGGAACAACTTCTAACTTTGTGGCAATCATTACAATGCCTTTTAACAGCAACAGAATATTCATCCAAAGTCATGTCTTTGATACATGTCACAAACGTATCAGCATTTAACTTGCGCCCAACAGTCAGATTTTGTTTTGCATACTTCCTAAATTTTGAAAGGCAGTTTTGAACATAACTGTTAGCAGGTTCCCCCAAAGGTAAGATGTTTACTTGGGGGACTTTTGAAAATCCGAGTCCCCTTCAACAATTGTGGTCGGAGGTGATACTGACGACGTATGTGTGTTTATTGTCATACCAACAGTAGCATCTTCTCTAAGTAATGGCCATGGACGTTCATCTGTATCATTTTCATTGGGGTCACTACTTTGCACATTAGTGCTAGGAGCTGAGCTGGTTACATACATATTAATACCAGAAGGTGAAACGTTGACAGAAGACTGCTTTTCATTTCTTTTTTGTTGTTTGCACTTTTTCTTTGCAGACGATTTCGACTTCGATTCAGCTTTGCTCAACATTTTCATTTCCTTCTCTAGTTTCCATTTCTGCTTTCCCTTCTCTAATATGCTTGAGTTGATTTCGGCAGCTTGTAGAAATTTCTCAGCATTACTGTAGTGTTGTTCCTGTTTCGTTAATAACTCAATGGTTTCGCTAAGGCTGGAAATGCTGTTGCTCAACTCCTTGATTCGCGATGCCCGAATATCTGCAGCAATATATTTTCTTTTTGATTTACGTGGCTGACTTGCACTACCATAGACATTGGATCTGGATACTTTCTTGACATAGTCATACCCAACAGAATCAACTTTTTTTCTCGCCTCTTCAAACAATTTCCCTTTGCTTAAGACAAGAACTGGATCACCTTTGCACAACTCAAACACAGCATCATTAACACTTTGCTGGTACCGGGTTGGATTGGTGCAATGATATATTTCAGATTTTTTACGAAGATCATCAGTGCTGAATTGAACAAGTTGATGCTGCTGTTCGATCTCATTTGTCTGCAAGAAACAATCACTATATAACAAACCCTTACTGTACGTACAGGTTTCCAAATACACAGTACATTACAAATGCTAAAAGCAGGTTTCCAAATATTAAAGTTAAAAATCACATTCTATTAGATGACTAAAAATTGAAGATGACATTTTTGTAAAACGCAAAGATTACTATACAGTATGTATTAATATAAAGAAACTTCCAGCATTAAGAAATTCAGTGTTGGTTTCAACACGGTGAAAACATGTATTGCTTAGCAATACATATATAAATAATATGTATTGCTTACAATTTCTTTGATCATCCAGTTTTTAAACTAGGCAACCCCCCCCCCCCCTCCTCTTTTTAGTGAACAGCATAACCACAACAATTTTGATGCCAATTCTGCTAAATTAAATAAACTGACAAAAGATATCCACTTATACTGTAATACCTTGGCTACTTCAGGGCCCAGTGATATTTTATTCCTGACTTTGGAAATGGTTAACTGCTTCTTACATGTACTTCCAATATCAACAGAAGCTACAAAGCATACATAAAAGTATATAGTGTGATATCCCTTTTGTTCTACACTTTTAAAAACATTATAGAATAAAACCAACAATTTATGAGTGATAAGTTCTTTGAATGTTTGCATGGCGATAAAATATAATTGTTTTTGTTTGTGGAAACACCACGTAAATTTATTATTGCAAAGCTTTCAATCCGTAATGCCGGATCTTCATCAGTGCTAATAATATGTTATTATTATTATTAGCACTGATGAAGATCCGGGCTTATGGATCGAAAGCTTTGCAGTAATAAATTTATGTGGTGTTTCCACAAACAAAAACAATTATAATTTATGAGTGCTAAGAAAAGACAAAATATAAAATAGTACCTGAGTAGAGTAGGTTAATAGGGCTATCCAACTACCAGAAAAATAAGAAGTAATTTCTTCGACGTTTGAAGCAAAGGCTACTCAGAAATTACTTTCTTATTTTTCAGGTAGTTGGATAACCTATATATAGTATAGGTTATCTAATAACCTTACTGTACCTACATTGAAATCCCCCTCACAAAAAATATTATTATATATACATTTCAGAAAAAGGTTCTACCTCTATCTCCCTCTTTTTGAAATCATATCCCAACCCATCTCACAGTTTCAAAATTTTCAAAAGTCCCCCCCCCCACACTCATTATATTACAACTGTTTCAGTTGGTAAAACTTGACAGGTTGCAGCTGGAAATGGCATTAAGCTATCAAGGCTCAACAAAGGGGATGATTTTTTACCATATGAAATACAGTACTCTTGACAAAGATATTCCTCTGAAAGTTCTAATGTTTATCAAGAGACTCTGGATGGAGATGAGTGAATTAGTTACCTGCAGTGGATGTAGTGGACATTTTTCCATCTGCCAATGCAGTTTGCTACATATGACAAAAGCATCAGTTGTGATACTGGTATTTCCACAATAAAATCCCAGTTCAATCAATGAATTATGTAACTAATCAATAAGTTAATTTGTTAGCTCGTTAAAACCACAGATGGGCATACATAATTTAAATTTTAAAACTGGAAATAAAGAGAAAAGAAGCAGCCCAATTATTAAAAAAAATTCTCGTTAAAATGCTCAGTCTATTTGTCTCATCACAAGTTAAAGCCCTGTCTTAATACGCTTGCAATTTTTGCTGCAATTTGTGGATGTGCAATTTGCATCTTTTGATGCATGTGAATTTATGTTCTGTGAACACAATACCCTTAATGTCTGAACATTAACCCATTTAAGCACAAGTCTCTCCACTTGACAAGTAAAATCATCTGGTGTTTTTGACTGAGTAAACGTAAAAGAATAAAGTAGGCCGGGACCATTGGGAGCCTTTGCGTCCACTAAAAAGGGTTAATTATTCATCACACACATTAGTTGTGTTAATGCTAAAAGTTCAAAATGTCAAACACATACTGTGTCTGTATGTGGCTGAATATACATAAATTTAATATATGAATGAAAAAACTAACCTTTTCAATTTCTTTATTAATACACTTCTTCTTTGTCTGCTGTGGCTACACATTTTAGCTTCTGTTGATGCCGAAGGGATTGTGTATTTTCTAAATCAAGCCAGGCTTCCCATTCCTCATCATACTCTTGCAAAACAATTGCACCTCTTATTTCAAAATTCTTTTTCACCTTATTTTTCACCTGATCCAAATTTTCATCTTTTTCAATGGAAACTACTTTTCTCCTCTCACCATGCTCAACAAGAACCTTGAGATATTAAAAACAGTATATAAATATATTAAAACTACATTAAAAAATATCAGCAGTTTCAGCATAAACTATGAAATTTTGTTTAAAAAAAATGTATTCTCGAACATGTTCAATTCAAATAACTCAAAGAGTACACTAAACAAGTCATAAATAACATTCGATTACAAAAATGGTGACCTGATGGCCATTTTCATATGTATAATTCATTAAATTCACATACCTTTATAAATTCGTTTTCTGGGATGTCCTCCATGTTTATAAAAGCGATCGGTCCCAGTCTTTTTATCGTTTTTATGCGTTTCCAAGATGGCGTCATGAAGGTCAATTCCCTTGCCCCAGAATTAGGTTTTGAGACAAACTAATGAATTTTCCCCGCCCCCTAGGGTATAAAAGCAGTGCAATCTCTGTGTATTCCGTTCATATTTCCCCGCCCTAGCCCGGGGTCCCCCCTCCGGGGATGGCCGATGACATGCGCATAAGGTCCATTTCATGTGAAAATGAATTTCCTTATTTCCTTGTTATATTCTTCCAACTTTCAAACGTATTCTTTGGCCCATATTTCGTCAGTGTAGCTTTAAATGCCAACATTTTCATGCTTACGAAGGAGCACTTTCAAATTTGATTTTTAAGTGGTTTTGTACGTTTCACCTTCAATTTTATATTCAGCGCAATCGTAGGAACTTTTTTCAGTACCAGAGAACGATTTTGAGCTTAATAAACCGACTTTTCTTGCAAAAATTCTCACTTTACTAAGTTACAGCATCAAAATATAATACAATTCTATAGTGTTTGTTTACGCTCGCATTCCTGAGTCCCAGGCCCCCAAGCACGACGGATTTTTTTGAAAATTGTCATGTTTGAGGGTCAATATCTCGGAAAATACTGAACCAAATCAAAAAAGGTTGAAGAACTTACTAACTAACTTTTTGTGCTCTTTCCAAATCCGTAAATATCCCACAAGTGATATAGGCACTTTAAAGAGCAGAAAATGCCAGGTAGCTGGCAACTCGAAGACGTAACTTCTATCGCTAAAGTTAAGAAGGTCAGTGACCCCCAAAAAGAGCTTTGACCGATCTCCCTTACTTCATCATTATCCAAGATTGCTGAGGACTGACTGATTACATTAAACCATCTGTAATTAGACTCCTCAGCCCAAAACAATTTGGAACTGTACCTGGCTTGTCTACAATTATGGCCCTAATTAGTAGGCGATACTGATGGTACTGGTCCCACTGTTCAAGTGATGCTTTACGATTTTTGTAAAGCCTTTGATTTCATTGATCACTCCCTGCTTACAACCAAATTAAATCAATTAATTCCCGAACAGCATTTTTAATTAAGTAAGCTTCATCACCTGTAGATCAGAGAGAGTAAAGATAGGATGTGACTGTTTTTCAGATTGGGGTGTACGTAAAGTCAGGGGTGCCTCAAGGGACAAAGTTGGGCCCCTGAAATACAAAACGAAATGAAAATGCCTCTGAAATGAAATGAAATACAATGCAAATTTATTGACAATGGCTGGCATTTTTGGTAGATTTTCTATTAAAATTATTTATATTAACCCTGGCAATGTGCCCTGCATCTCTATTATTTTACTCTGTCTTGTGCCAGACGATTTTACTTGTCAGGGGGAAGTGCTGCCACTCAATGAGTTAAAATTAACTATTTTGCATGTGACCTATTCACACATGTGACTGCATAATTTTTCATGTGTATTATTTATTAGTAATAGTATGGTTTCTTGTGCAATTTGGAAAAACATACAGTCTTGTGAGTTTTTCAAAGACTTCAAATTGCACTTGTTCTTCGGACTCATGCAATTTTGATCATCTTTGAGACAAGGCCCTATGAAAATGATTATCAATTGATACCTGGTTACAGTGTATAAAGTCTATAAAGGGAATTAAATACAAATACTTTTGCCCAAATTGACTTGAAACCATAATACTACCTATGCTAATATACTGTATATAATATTTAACTTTTCAATAATATAATAATTATGTATAATAATTGTGTAAATAACATTTCAATATAATGATAATTTAAGTAACATTTCAATCTAATAATTTATAAGTAAATGACATTTCAATAATAACATTTATAATAACATTTTTACAATATTCTGTTATCAGTCCAGGACCTGCATATGAGTTTGCATTTGATTCATTTAGGGCAGGCAATCTCAACTGTTTTAGGGTAAAATGACCATGGCAGACAACATGGCAAATGTGTGAAAACCTGAATCCGGGGCGAAAGTCCTGAAAATGACCCGCCCTGAAACGGCAGTGTCGAAATAGCTCTAACTTCCAAAAGGGAAAAGCAATAGCCTTTCTGAAGTGCTTATAGTGTTTAGAAGGGTTGCTTTTAGGGGTGGTCATTGGAAGGAAAAATTTGTCTAAGTATAATATTTTACCAGGAAATGACTATGCAGTGTGACCAGTTTTAGTACATTTTATTACCAGATCCGGTTGGATGCCCTTAGACAACACCACCTGCTTTAAACAACTGCAACATTAAGAACAGGAGGGGGCAGCCAATCAATTTTAAGCAGCTTTAGTAAAAAAATTTGCATATGTGGTCACACTGTGACTATGCGCCACCCCAGGTAAAATGCTGATTATGCACAAAATAACTAATATGCCTAGCAGAATTAAATTTTCTTAATGAAAAACTATGCTTAGTTCAATATAATTATTCTGGATTTCATAAGGATTGTCATTGTTTTCTTTTAATATAATACATTTTATTTCACTTACCCCCCACGAAAACACGATTTCAGCCATATTTTGCAGTCTTGTTTGCTTTTTATCGCTGAGTCTTGCAAATATCATCCAGCCGATGTAGTTTAACATGATGATAAATGGCTAAAGAATATTTCACCCAAGTTTCATGAAGTTTTAAAACTGTGCAGTGTATTTTATCTTTGATATTGTGTCCTTCGATATTGCGTCAAATTGCTGCCATTTTAATGGCTCACCCCTTTTCTGTCCAATAAATGCCAATTCTTCACTTTCATGTGTATTTAGATTACAGTATGCAAGAGTACTTCATTGTAGAATAGTTCCAATCGAAAAATTGATGACATTTGTCCCATTTGGAAGGAAAAACCCTCCCGTATACCATTTAGGTTCAAAATTAAAACAAATCATTTTAAAGTCACACACAATCTTCGCGAAAACTTCTCATGGATACATGACAGGTGGGGGGGGGGTGAATATTTTGACAAAACGTTTGTTCACCACCACAGAAACATAACTAAATATATTGTATTTATTGTATTTTTATGATTTATAATAAAAACAAATATTTGCGTAGTTTTGTCATAAATCATAAAAATACAATAAATACGATATATTTAGTTATGCTTCAGTAATTCTGTGGTGGCTAACAAACATTTCGTGAAAATATTCACACCCCCCCCCGGTCATGTGTCCACAAGAAGTTTTCGCGAAGATTGTGTGTGACTTTCAAATGATTTGTTTTTTATTTTTAATGTAAATGGTATATGGGAGGGTTTTCCCTTCCAAATGGGACAAATGTTGTCAATTTTTCGATTGGGACTATTCTACAATGAAGTACTCTTGGATACTGTAATCTAAATACATATGAAAACGAAGAAGTGGCATTTATCGGACAGAGAACAGGTGAGCCATGAAAATGGCGGCAATTTGACGAAATATTGAAGGACACAATATCGAAGATAAAATACACTGCACAGTTCCAAAACTTCATGAAACTTGGGTGAAATATTCTTTAGCCATTTATGATTATGTAAAAGTACAATGACTGGATGATATTTGCGAGACTCAGCAATAAAAAGCAAACAAGACAGCAAAATATGGTTGAAATTGTGTTTTCGTGGGGGTAAGTGAAATAAAATGTATTATATTAAAAGAAAACAATGACAATTCTTATGAAATCCACAATAAGTATATTGAACTAAACAGTTTTTCATCCCATGATAATCCTTTTTAGGAAATAAGAAAATTTAATTTCTGCCAGGCATATTAGTTATTTTGCGCATAATCAGCAATTTACCTGGGGGTGGTACATAGCCATTTTCTGGTAAAATATTATACTTAGACAAATTTTTCCATCCAATGACCACCCCTAAAAGCAACCCTTCTAAACACTATAAGCACTTCAAAAAGGCTATCGCTTTCCCTTTTGGAAGTTAGAGCTATGTCGACACTGCCGTTTCAGGATGGGTCATTTTCTGGACTTTCTCCCCCCACCCAGATTCAGGTTTTCGCACATATGCCATGTTGACCGCCATGGTCATTTTACCCTAAAACAGTTGAGATTACCTGTCCTAAATGAATTGCATACAAACTCATATACAGGTCCTAGACTAAATGTAAATATTTTCCATCATTTTTTTTCAAAATTCATTGAATAATTTAACATGCTAACGACAACAGGACTTTAATAGTTAGCAGATCAATTTTTTTTATCAACAATCTTAGCCAAAAGAGCTATTAGTGCTTGCCCTTGTTGCTGCATTAAAATCATCTGGCTTGCTTGTACCCGATTATTTTGCTGCCTTTGCATTTCTAAAATAACAGTCAACATGTCATTCTATTATTGTTGCATAAATTTGTCTGTTTTTTCCTTTTCCATTTCCTGGTGTTCCAGACCTCTCAACTTTGCAGAGAAGTTAAGAGTGAGATTGGGGATGTGGATGACATGCACCTTTGTAAACGTCCGGGGGTCTGAAATGGCATTTCGTACAATATGAGAGTTGGTGTTTTTTAATGAAAAACATTGCTTCATAACGTTCTTTAAAACTGTATTTCTGTGACATACAGTAATCAGCTCTAATTTCCCTTTGATAATTTACATATAGAATTCTGCTCGGACTGATTCTGCCTTTTGTGAGGGTCCTGAAGGGGGGGGGGGTCCCAATCCCATTCCCCACCTGAAATTTTGGCAAAATGCCAGTCCCAGTTGGATTTTTATTAGAAATCCCAGTCCCAGTTATTGAAATCCCAGTCAATAAAAACCCCTTTATTTATCGGTAGAATAAACAGTTTAAGACCTTTTAAGTAAGTGGCGGACACGTTATGAAATATGAGGGGGGCTCGTGCCAAAGGCACGGAAAATTTTTAAATTTGAATCCCGGAAATGGCATTTGCAGCATTCTGAGACACGCATAATCAGAAAACCCAGAATTCCGGGCGCCAGAGTATGCCTGTTCGCAGGTAGTGCTGTGAATAATATAGTTAACAACAAAAATCATGACCAAAGACACCAAAAACGGATCAAAACTGTATTTTAAAACACTTAAAATGTAGAAAAATTGGGAATCGACTCGCATTACCTCAATCCCATTCCCATTTTGGAGGACTTCATTTCCCATTCCCAGTGGCCAAATCCCAGTCCCAGCAACCCAAATCCCATTTTCCCAGTCTAAAAATAGATCAATCCCAGTTCCCATTTTACCCCTTCAGGACCCTCCTTGTTGGCTTGTAACAACCTTATCGAAATTATCAGACTTGTTGCAAGGTTGTTCTGACAAATCCGTTACATGTTTTTGATACAACAAGATTGTTACAACCTTGTGTTGACAACCTTGTAACATCCTTGTTATATCATGGCTGTAACAAACTTGTTAGCACTGCAGCATCATTCAACAAAAGCCAAATTAATGTATGGCGAATCAAATCATAATCTTGCTAAAATTGACAATGAGTTCCCCGTAATTA